TTGCAATATGAAGCAACTGAGTTCTGTTTTCTGGTTCTAAAAATGAACAACTTATTATCCCACAAATATTTCTTTCTATCATTCTACCTTCTCTTCGCTCACTCAACTTAAATAGCTTGGAGTGGTTTAAGGAGATCATTCTGTGTCTTTGGCTTATCTTTCCTTCTCAGTAAAATGGAAATAACTTCCATCTTAATATATTTGTAAAAATTAAATTAGAAAATGTTTAAATACGTAACAATAGTTCCTTAGTTAAGTGATGAGAAAACATTGGCTTCCTTCTTGACTCATTTTTGTATTCTTACTGAATTAAAAAAAATTATTTATTTTAAAACTGGCCCATGAGCTTTACCAACAAAGTATCTAGGTTCCAAATACATATTGTTCTTTTGAAGAGCACTGTACAAGAATACTAGTATTATCTTATGAATCTGTGTGTAAATGGATAGTGTCTACAACTTTGGGACCACTAATTACTTAGCAGTTCAGTACACCGGCTAGAATCTGGATTAGGACAGCATTTTATCAATAGATTACTTTGTGTAGTGGTATTTTCACAATGTTAAATTTTCTACTCATGAACATGTTATACTCTTCCATTTATGTAAATTTCTTTCTTTTTTTTTTTTTTTGCTCCTTCCCTCTTCCCACCCCCACCCTCTCTTTTGGTTTCTTGTAGTAGCATTTTTGTAGTTTTCTTTGTACAGGTCTTTTGGTTCTCTGGTTAGATTTATTGTGAAGTATTTCATCTTCTGGGTGACTAATATAAATGGTATTTCTTTCTCGTTCCTCTTCAGAGCTCTCTTATAAAAGAATTCACTTGATTTCTGTATGTTGATCTCATAGCCTGCCACTTTGCCTAATCTTTGAATTAGTTACAATTCTCTTGCAGAGTCTTCGGGGTTTTCTATGTATAGGATTATATCATTTGCAAATAGAGTGAAGCTTGACTTCTTCGTCAATCCCGATGTCTTTCTCATAAAGAGGATCTGATGATGCAGCAGGTTACGCACTGGGCTACTAACCACAAGGTAAGTGGTTCAAACCCACCAGCTATTATTCCATGGTAAAAAAGATGAACCTTTCTGCTTCTATAAAGATTTACAGCCGAAGGAACACACAAGGGCAGTTCTATTTTGTCCTGTGGGGTTGCTACGAATTAGAATCGATTCAATGGCAGTGAGTTTTTATTTCCCCTTGTTGCCTGATATTTCTGGTTGAGACTTCCAAAACAATATTGAATATTAGTGGTGATAAAGCACATTCTTGTCTGCTTCCCATTTGCAAGGGGAATACTTCCAGCTTCTCTCTGTTCAGAGTAACACTGGCCATTGGTCTTATATATATGCCCTGTGTGATGTTGGGAAATGGCTCTTCAATTTCTATTTTGTTGAGTGTTCTTATCCTCAGTGTTTAAGCAAAAATGGGTGTGGAATTTTGTCAAATATCTGTTCTGCGTCAGTTGATATAACCACATGGTTCTTTGCCTTTGTTCCATTTGTTTTTCTAATGTTGAATTCTTCCTTAAGTGGTATGAACCGCACTTGGTCATGATATATTTATTTTTAATATACCGTTGGAGTCTATTAGCTAGAATTTTGTAGAGAATTTCTGCATCAGTGTTCACAAGGGATATTTGACCTCTACAATAGTTCTTGGAATTTCATTTTAGTATCAACAGGGTTAAAATTTCTATTTCTCTGAAGTAGTTACTAAAATTTTTTTTAAAAAGAAAAAAAAGGTAAAATGATGCTTACTGATGAACATATTTCATTTGCAATAGTTTTCTAGTTGTTCCCTAAATAAGTTAAATAATCTCACTCTCTGTAATAGTTAGGTTTTGTGTCAACTTGGCTGGGCCAGGATTCTAAGCAATTTGGCAGTTGAGGCCTTCTCCATGAGGTGGTCTAACATAATGTAATCAACTCTATGATGGGATCTACTGTGAGCAATAAAGCAGAAAAATTAGGATCAACCTCACTCAGGTTGCTCATGTTTCCTCAGCATTGTGGCCTAGTTCACACAAAGCCAACACAGTGAAGACATTATTACTACAGTCTTTGATTTGCTCATCAGAATTGTCCTCTGGGTTTCTGAGCTGGCAACTCTATGGGAGTAGAAAGTCTGATGGTTTTGAACAGCTAACCTCCAGATTAGCAGCCTAACTCATAACCACTCTGCCTCAATGATAGACAAGGTACCTTAATCAAACCTATTTCTAAGGCCCCCAAATATATTTCTTACAAGGGTTACAATGATCCTCTCTGGAATATTTGCATTTGTGAATAAAAAATACACAAATTTGAAGGTATTTCAAAACACTTGTGGAAAAATGGAATAAAAAGGATAATAGATTTTCCCACAAACTTTTTGAAGCCCCCTTGTATAGCAGGTCTTCCCTATCTACTGATTCCATGCCTGCAGATTACACCAACCTGGATTATGATTATTTTGTGGGTAAAGAAATTAGGTGGTTACAAGTTAAGAAGGCGCAGAAAGTGCGGTCTGTATAACATTTATGTTGCACCAGGCAGTCTGTCTAGGAAGCCCTGGGGGCACAGCGGGTGCCAGGCCAGGCTACTAACCACTAGGTCGAACCGAACCCACGAGACTCTTGCTTCTTATAAGACGTAGTAGCCCTTGGAGAACCCCATGACAGGCTCACTACAAGTCAGAAGCAACTTGATCGCAGATTTTAAGAGCTGATTGAAGATATATGGGAGGTTTCTGTGTCAGCTATATGCAAATATTAGACCATTTTATATAAAGGACTAGAGCATCCATACATTTTGGTACCTTGGAGGAAGGGAAGTGTGTTTGTTTATCCTACAATCAATACCCCTTGATATAGAGTCAACAGTATATATGGAAGCATTATTGTTGAATATTATAATGTTGCATCTAATCATTTTAACTTTAAAACATTCGCTGGCTTACCTGTTTCATGTAACAAACTAGCTTCTACTTTGTGAGGAATTCTTGGTGGAATTTTCATAGACGCACGAATTTGGTAAAAACTGAAGCAAAATAGAAAAGGAAGTCATTTTAAAACATTTTAAAAATATGTAATACTAATTTCTACATACATATGTATATAAAGACAATAGAGTTGATTTGCTTCTGTATTTATTATTGATGAGAAAATCATTACGATTCAGAGGTCAATTTTTAAATGGCATGAAAACAAAAGGTTATGTATAAAGTTGAATGAAAAGCTGAATGACTGAAACATAAGCAATATATATAAGCAAAAAGAATTTTCTATTTTGTATGAGAGAATGTTACAGCAACCTGTGAAGCTGGAAAAGCACATATTTAAGAGTTTTTTTTGTTTCAGCTTGTTCTTTTGAGGCACACAACATCCTTCGTTGACCACACCGGAAGGGCTCTATGTGGAAACCTCAACTAAGTGAAAGGGGCCCTACCTCAAATTCACCTATAGTCCTTGGACTTCAGGTTGACAAGAAATTTCATAATGTGAGAAGCAGATGTATAGAACTGGCAGTCATCAGACCTTGGCTCAGATCTCTTGCCAAGGTGCCCAATGAATGGTGGCCTGGAACTACCACACACTTACCATTTTAACGAACTCTTCATTAAGATATATCAATCTAGTAGGGCTGGATCTGCCAATGGCAGTGAATATTACTGAAAATATTGCTGGAATGGCAACCCCCATTGTTTGTGTAAATAGTGTCTAGTCTAAAGTGACCAGATTTTAACACTGGTAAAACGGGACACCATTGATAAGACTCATATCCTGGCGAAATAGCCAAATGGCAGCCGAAAACAGTATACCCTAGCTTGTCGCACATTTTCCCAAAATAGGGATTTTTTTAAAAATGCCACAGGACGCGAGAAAAATTGTTAAAAATCGGGAATGTCCTGCCAAAAGCAGGACATCTGGTCACCTTAGTCTAGTCACTTAAAGCGTTTAATCCAGTGGTTCTCAACCTTCCTAATGCTGTGACCCTTTAATATAGTTCATGTTGTGGTGACCCCCCCCAATTATTTTTGCTGCTACTTCATAACTGTAATTTTGCTACTATTATGAATCGGGCAAGCCCTGTGAAAGAGCCATTTTGTGACCTACAGGTAGAGAACCACTGGTTTAATCTGTTCAGGTCAATAATTCATCAGTTTCAATTCATAGCCAGTTTTTATTACATAATCTCCTTTTTCAATTGTGCTTTACCATTGGTTAATTGACACCATCAATAGAATTACCTTATGCCCCAGGGAGATGACTGATAATGTTCTCTAATCATAAAATGATATGATGTCTCTAGAGTGATCCAGACATATATAAACCAGATCTATATACAACTGGATCTTGTGCTCGCACTTAATTCTAGCCCTAATCTAAGGACAATTAGTTCTTATGACATGCCCTGCCTGATGCTTGCCCTCATGAAGAGATCACTGAAAATACAGGTGCTATAGCAGAGTGTGGTGAAGAAACTAGATGGTGATATCAATAATGGTTGTAAAACATGAAGAATATAATAAATGGCACTGAATTATACATGGAGAAGATTTTGAATCAGAGAAGGTACAATAGTATATAGTTTTACCACAACCAAAAAATAATAATTACACAAATAGCAATGAGTACAAGGAAGAAGGAAATGTTCTAAAATTGATTGTGGCAATGATTGTACAACTCTTCTTGATATGAACTATTGAATTGTGAGATATGTATGTGGATGAAGTGAAAATACTGTTTAAAAAAAAATTAGTCTTGGAAACTCACGGGGGCAGCTCTTCCCGTCCTATATGGCCACTAGGCGTCGGCATGCACTCAACAGCAGTGTGTTTGGTTTGGTTTGGTGTGGTGAAATTAGTTGGTATGGCTCTTTGTAACTCCACTCAGTCACTGCACAAATACTGCGCACAGGACTCTAAAGAGGGGATTGGGCAGTTTTGTCATTCCACTTGGTATAAAATGAACCATCACAGAAGCAGGAAGCAAGCATCGTAGGGCCAGCAGAAGAAGCAACCACACTTATTCAGGATTGCTATGTGGAGAAGCAGTGGCAGCAGACACTGTGAAGAAGGAACCATGGTGGGAACAGAGACCAGAAGACAGAGAGGTACAGGCTACCAAGCCCACAGAGAGAGTAAAGCTGAGTACATTCAGGTAGGAAGGGTGGGGAGTTCTAACGTTTGCCCAAGCAGAACAGAAGCCAGGCATATTGTTGAGGAGAATCACTGTAGACAAGATGTTTTGTTTATCCTGAGTTGTAGTCTATTAACTTCTGTAGTAAACCCCATAATTATGGGGGCGGGGGGAGAGAAAGAGAGAAAAGAACTTAGATGGTGTCCGGCTATCATAAAGAATAGTGTCTGGGGTCTTAAAGGCTTGTCTTCAAACAAGAAGCCATTTAAGTGAGGTGCCAATTAAGTCTACATGGAAGCAGCACACCAGCCTGTGTGATCCAAGGACTGTAAATAATGTAATCCAAATCCAAAGGAGGGAATGTTATCAGAGCTCAAATTGTGAATACCCAGTTTGAAAAATGCAACAGATGACAGTGGAAGCCCAAAATCCATGTGCAGGGTCCAGACACAGATTAAACCTCCATGAATTCCCTCTGACCACAGTCAAGGGATGTGTATAGCCATGTTATCACACATAGTATTGCAGAGATGACTATACTAAGGTATATAGTTAGGTTAAAATTTAACATTTTATTTTATCCCTCTTTTGTCCCATTTTTAACGTTGTATCACAATTAAAAGAAATGAGGGGGTGGGGGAATACCCATGGATTAAGCCTCCGGTGAATTCCCTCTAACCAAGAGCAGGCATGTGAATAGCCCTGCTTTCAAGTAGAGCACAATGGAAAGTGTTTAATGGCAGATGTAGTTAGGTTAAAATTTAACACCTTATTATTTGATCTCCTTTTGACCCATTTTAAAGTTTTAGTTTTTAGTATTTTCTGCTTTCTTTTCAATTGAAGATTTTCTCTATTTTGTTAAAGTTAGCTTTTTTGTTTCTTTGTTTTTCTATGTTTTTTTGGTATATCAAATCTAAGATGGATGAGTTTATAGAAACACTAATTGGATTAATTTCTTGGGGGTAGGAACAGGAGGTTGGAAATAAGGAACTAATAACAAGGAGTACAATAAAGAAGAAAATGTTCTAAAATTGATTGTGGTAACGATTTTGCAACACTTCTTGTTATGATTGAACTAATGAATTGTGTGCTATGTGGATTACTGTATATACTTGTGTATAAGCCGAGTTTCCCAGCACATTTTTAATGCAGTTTTTGTGGTAAAATTAGGTGTCTCGGCTGATATTCAGGTCTGCTTATACTTCAGTATATACAATATGTTCCAATAAACCTTGAAAATAAAAATTTTAAAATGATAAAAGCAAAATTTTATACTGTAAATGACAAAATAAAGACAATGAGACTGTATGAGAGTAAATCCTAAAGTATTGCCACAAAATCATAAAAACCTATTAGACAAAAATATCAACATGTAAAACTATTGTTTCTCAGAATATCCTCTATCGAGGTCTAAACATGTCTAAATGCAGGGTTTCTATTTCTCTAACCTTTCCCTGAAGAATTTTTCCCACTTTAATTTATACCACACCAAAATAGCAGTTTTGTCATCCTCAAGGGGACTCAAATCATGTTATTTTTCAATGTTTTTGTTTTGAAAAAGAAGTCTAAATAGGCAAGATCAGAGCTGTAGGGTGGATGGGGTAAGGTTACAAATCAAGTTCTCACAGAACAGCCCAGTAGGCAAAGAGAAAGGTTTTTTTGTTGTTGTTCTGCAAACATTTGTTGATCTATCCTAGCAAACAACCATCACTACAACAAAAGTATTCACAGAAAAAAATGAAACTGACTCAAATATTTGAAAAAAAAGTTAAATCTTATATACATAACCAAACCAAAAATAAACCCTGCAAATTACAACTACATTGAGGCATCATTTATTGCCTGTCAGAGTGACAACTAACCAACACTTTAACAAAATATTGGTGAGGCTGCAGGCACAAAAAAATTCTCCTCCACTGCTGGAAGGATGCATATGAAGTATGAAGTAGATCCATATGAAGTAGGTTTTGGTAATAAATAGCAAGGGCACATATGCATTTACACTTTGATCTAGAAATTCACTTTGAGGATTATATCCCAAACATACAATGAAAAAATACTAATTGACTAATAATACATATAACTACTTATTGCAAATTAGTAACAACAGCAAAAGTCAAGAACCAAAAAATCCACCAGTAGACTACCTCAATAAGCTCTCAACAAGATACAACAGAGTACTTTTCTACTATCAAAAGGAATGTGAAATCTTTCTGTAAACATTGTGATAAAATGACCTCTAAGATACAACCAAAAATTCAAGATGCAGAAAGTATGTATACTATAGTCCCCTGTATAAGAAGGATGTATATGACTATTTACTTGCTTATATTCCCAATAATGAAAGCAAACCTTTCCTTCTATTGGAGTAATGATACAGTGAATTAAAAAAATTATATTGTTTTCTATAGATTTTTTTCATGGATCCTAAATTTTAGATTTTAAAAATTTATTCTTCTAAAATAGATATGAAAAATGACTGGCATAGCATTTTGGATTAGTTGTCACTGACTACTAATAACTGCAGTAGCACTATTCAATCATGACTATAATCTTCAAAGGATGCAAAAACATACTGTATACACTCGAGTATAAGCTGACCCAAATACCAGCCAAGGCATCTAATTTTCCCACAAAAACTGCATAAAAAAATGTGCCGGAAAAACTCAACTTCTTATACACGAGTATATATGGTAATTGTGATCCATCAAAGGATGTAAAAAATGGCAAACTAAAAGCAAAATGGGTTTTTAGTTTTGAGAACAAAAAAGAGGAAGGGTGTACACTAGCAATTAAGAGGTTCACATTTTTTAAATCTCCAATCACCAAATTATAAATCTTCCAGGAGTATAATCACCAGTCCCTTGATGCCAGTACCGGGGGCACTCCTTCCATAAA